AAAAAAATAAATGATTCAATTGTTTCCTAAAATATAAAAACTGTTTTAAAATTCAACTGAATTTCTTAATTTTTTTTGTTTATACCTATTTCATTTTTATAATTATTTTATATTGCCTATGATAAATATAATAAATAGCATTAGCTGTATGCCTGTATTTGTTATACTGAACTATACACAAACACCATACAGATACTACAGATGGTATATTACTATAGAAAAAAATTAAACTTGAGTAAATTTTTTTTTTTGTATAATTTTTTTATACTTGTAAGTTAATATATAATATGGTAACCTTTTATCGGGTTACTTTTCATCTAATATCAGGTGGTGGCTACAGCTCTCCCAACATTTTTTAGCAGGTACTTATACATTTATTTTTTAGGAATATTCTGCAGAGACTCAGCCAATTGATAACATATTGTATGAAACTAATAGTTATAAGGATAAAAACCAAGATTTAGTCCAACAAATTAGGAAGTGGGCTGTGCAGTTTAACGTATCACAAGGTTGTGCAAATGAAATGTTAAATATTCTTAGGAACACAGGTCAAAAAGTTCCAAAGGATATCCGTACAATACTACGAGAACATAAAGATGTTAGACCAATTTCAGAAATTAAAAACGGTTCATATCTTAATTTAGGTATTTGAAATATTGTACAACCTCACTTATTAAAACAAATAAATAATATAACTAATAATATAATAATAAAATTAAGTTTCAGTATTGATGGTCTCCCTTTGGGTAAAAATTCTAAGACACAGTTTTGGACTATTCTCATGTCATTCATAAATGTATCCATTTTAAAAAAGAAAATTTTTCCAGTTGGTATTTTTCACAGTTTTAACGGTAAACCTGGTGATATAAATGAATATTTAGAACCATTTATAAGTGAGCTAAATCACATTTTAACTTATGGTATTCAAATTAACAATAAACAAATTAATTTTCAAGTAGCTCACATTGTAGCAGATGCGCCAGCTAAAGCATTTTTACTAAAAGTTAAAAATCATAATGGGTATTTTGACTGTAACTCTTGTGAAGTCGAGGGGGAATATGTGGATAGAATTTGCTTTTTAGATGTATCTGCACCATTAAGAACAAATAACTCTTTTAGGGTAAAATCAAATGCTGAATACCATAAGGATGGATTTAGCCCATTAATAGATCTTCCTATTGATATAACAGAGTGTGTAGTGTTGGATTACATGCACTGTGTATGCCAGGGTGTAATTAAAAGACTATAAGATTTCTGGGTTAGAGGAAAAAAACCAATAAGAATGTTAGAGGAAAAAAAAAATTTTATTTCTTTAGCTTTATTCAATTTAAGAAAATCTGTACCATCAGAATTTGCTCGTTTACCAAGAAGTCTTGATGATCTGGAATATTGGAAAGCAACAGAATTCCGTGAATTTTTACTTTATACAGGTATTATAGTCTTAAAATCTAATATAAAAAAAGAACAATACAATCACTTTCTTGTTTTATTTACAGCTATTAGAATACTGTGTTCAGATAAAATTTTTAATACACATAATGATTTAGCTTCAAAACTTTTAATAGAATTTGTTCAAAATTATGCATGCATTTATGGTTCAAAATTTGTTAGTTACAATGTCCACAGCTTAATTCATTTACCTTTTTTTGTTAATTTACACGGACCATTAGATCATTTTAGTGCTTTCAAATATGAAAATTATCTTCAAACAATTAAAAAATCAATGAAATGCTGTAGATTTCCACTTGCTGAAATTCTAAATAAAGTATTAGCATCTGAAGGTGAGGAGTTAAAAACTCCTTTAAATAACAATTTGTCCCTTATAGAGTCTTTTAAAGTAGATAAAAAACTCTCAAATTTTAGATTCACTTTTTTCAAAAAAATTACTCTTCGATCAAATAACTATACCCTTTGCTGTGATAATGTTAAAGATCGGTGTATAATTCTAGAAAATGAGGATATAGTGATGATACAAAATATTTATAAATTAAATTCTAAAAATGATAGTACAATTAAACTATCTGTTGTTAAATTTTTAACTGTAAATAATTTGTTTTTACAACCTGTACCAAGTAAACTCCTAGGAGTTTTCTCAGTTAAGACTGATCATATATCTAATGTTTATGACATATCTATAAATAATGTTATATTTAAGTCTTTTTTTGTCAAACTTTCAAATAATGAAGCAATTGTTATTTCACTTTGCCATAGTATGTAATTGTATAAATATTTAATTTTTGAACTAAGTATTTTTAATATCTACCTATATTATAATGCACTGAGACTGAACTATTAAATTTATGTTTATGAAAACTATATAATAATATTTCTATGTAGTAACATATTTTTTTTTCTTGTAATATATAATATATATAAACTTGTAAGACCAGTCAAATGTGTGTTTATTTTTTTATTTCTATCAGTAAATGACATTTCCAAAAAAAATAATAACTAGTGTAAGTATTTTGAAATGTATATACCTATCTAAGAATTTGTGGATTACTTTAATGACAATACTTGTAGTATAACGCACAATTCTACATGTAATTAAATCAAGGGGATAGAGAACAAGGTACATTAGATACATGAAAGATTTTTAATAAGTTCTTTTTCCTTATATGCCCCTGTGTATGGATTATCATTATTTACATAATGTATAACAAATAATAGTTTTACAACCTCAAGGTGTGAAGGCGTAGGGATAAATCCAATTATGCCCCCCCCCCCAAAAAAAAAAATAACAGGTACATAGTAGAGGAGAGGTATATATGCTTGAATGTTCCTAAGAACCGCTGGAAAAATATAACTGGAACATACAATTTAAAACTATTAATTTGAAGTGCAAATAAACATCTCAGGAATAGTTTTAAAAGCACGTTACTGGTATGTTCCCGAAAAACTATTCAAGTAATATAACCAGTTTTATAGTTCTATGATGGTTTATTCATTGTTACAAACAACACGGCATATTGCGTTTACGAAATGGTTTTAGGCCTCCGATGGAAGTTACTTAGGAACGTTTCAGAGTTCCCTTGAAACGTTATTTTTACATTACTGTAACAGTTTTTTGCACGGTGGGTCCCTTATTGACATTACAGCGTTAAATCCTGGTTTTTCCAATATATTTGGTAACTTTGAATTGGTTAAAACTCCAATTTCTCCAGGAACACGTTCCAATTGCTATATGGCATTTTAAACTATTTCTAAGATCTCGGTTGATGGCATTTTAGAAGTTTCTAATTTTGAAATAGTATCAACTAAAAATCTAAAATTAGTGGAAATAAATGTTAAATTGTTTTGCAAATTTTTACTTTCTACGACATCAATAATTTTTTTATTGCCATTGCAGCAGCGGAATCCATATGTAAAACAACACTATTAATCTTTTCAAAGTTATTTGAATAATATGATAGCTGATTGCCCACCCAGTTATAATAAACTTGGGAGTAGGGGTAAATTCGCATTCATACTTCATAGGTATGTTTAATTGTTTTTACATGACTTGGCGCTTTTAAAAATATTTTTTTACGTTGGAAATTAATGAACCAACCTCTGAAAATTGAAATCTGCTATATGTTGCAACCATATACTAGACAAGTTAAATGTACCATTTTTGGATAAAATGTGTCCGACACTTTTCTGATATAAATTTAATTGAATATACTTTTTTCACATGTTATACTGCGCGGCGTCCATGAAAAGTATAAGTACAATATTATTATTGTGTATTATACTACTCGGCCACAAAACGAAAATTGAATTATTAAGGGCCAGTTGTACCGTCTCCGATTAAAGTTGATTGAAGTGTAATCGTAAACTGTACAAATGACCCTAAGTATAATTGACGTATAGTTTTGTGGTTGCATTTATCTAATTCTTCGCAACACGGCAAAAATGGTTTAGATGGTTCAGTGCTCAATTTGTCTACAATAATATTTGCGATTTACAGACCGTCGGAATCTGTGGTTTCATCCATTCCAACCTAAATAGGCCCTTCGAATAGTATTTAAAATTTTTGAAATAGTTTCTTTATAAACCACACACTCATAATTTTTTTGAAGTGTACTCACGTCAGGAATTTTATGACCAGTATATTTTTCCATAACATTTTTAAATACAAAATTTTTAAATTTAAAAAGGAGGAATGACTGAAAATTTCGAATCTTTGTCACCCGATACTTTGATGTTATAGGCGTACAGTATATAGACAGACCTAATCGTATATTCGTATCGCGTATTAGTACATAGTAAAATACTCAAATAAAAACCGAAAATTTTCAATAATACAAAATACGTATATTTATTTGTAAAAATATTTAAAATAAAATTAGCATCAGATTATTTGAAATTAAATGAAACGTATACATATATATACATATCGAAAACTTTCCGATGTTAAAACTATGTAAAAAAAAATATATTTAAATTAAAATCAGTTCCCTACTTATTATTACATATAAAAAAAAAAATACTTTATGGACACGAGACTATAAGTAACAAAAACGTATAGATTATTATAGATCATATATTATTATAAGAATAAGAATTATTATTATTATAGATTTGTTTTAACTCTAATGACAACTTCACGGACCGACCGGACTCCGTAGCCCTGGGATTCTGGGTTGCCACTTCGCGTGTTGGCCTCCACCCGTCACAGAATTCAGATATTGACTGGATAGTGAATACGTCGTGTTCTTGGAGAATGGAGATCAAGGTACTGTATTTTTTAAAGTTTAATTTTCTTCTAAGACATGGGCATTGCACTGTATAAAAAATAAATGTATCTCCTTAAAAACAAAAATAAAGTGAAAAAAAACTGAATAGTACAAAAAAAATATTAACCTATTAATAATAACAACACAACATAAAAAGTGAGTGAAAGTCGTAACATTTCAAGAAAAACTAAATTCCCTACATTTTGATTTTTCATAATTTTTGGGGATACTGCTAAGAAGTGAAGATTGTGGAGGATGCGTTACGGACTCTATGTACCATGTTCTCAAGTGTTAGTCACTACTCACTACTGTTATTTGATTTCGGCGGTGGCGGTCATAGTGGAGACGTCGGCAGCTGTTATCTAGCCACTCGTTCATCGACGACCAACATGATCACAGCACACGCTCCTGTAATTCTGACATTCTGTCACAAGTTTTCTTTTCAGTTAGGTTTCTCATGATTATGAACCAGATTTATATGCAAATGCATATATGTATTAGAATGAACTTTTTTAAATCTGATGATAATTGTTCCCGATTTAGATCATTTTTATTAAAATAACACTAACTGCGTTTTGCATACTTCGAAGTTTTTACCTATTAAATCAAGCCTCATTAAATCAATACAATTATTACGAAAATGTGGGATCATATTTTATAGATTGAACATATAGAATATTAATTGCAAAGAACATAGTGAAGACGACGAAATACTTTTTTTCTACTTTTAAATCCTTTTGATACCTTTTTTAATGCTAATACATATTTTTTACATAATTTTAAACAAAATGTTTTCGATTCATTTTAAGTGGATACTTAAAAATACATGCATGTTTACAGCATTTTTACAAGCAAATTTTAAGGATTTTTTGGGCATATAAAGCCGGTCCCTACTCATAATATTTTCTAAAACGTTCTTGCAACGTAAAATCTAACAACTGAGTAAAAGCATGCTTCGTTTTCAGAAACTAAATAAAGAAAAGGATATAAAAAATATAATGAAAACTTAATTTACTTACTTACTTCAATTACTGACATAAATAATGATTTAAGAATAAATTATTTGTTCAATTGTCCAACTATGTGGGCGGGGATCTCAATTCAAAGTAATACCTTTTTTTTAATCAATTTAATGAAATATCAGTGTAACAAGTAACAACAAAATCTCACTTATTTATCTGTTATTTATTTAATTCAAAGTCAAAATAATAAAATATTAATGTTATATTGATACAATATTGATGCATTTAATATATTGGTCAAGGCATATAGTCAGGTTGGCCGAGCGGTCTAAGGCGCCAGATTTAAGCTCTGGTTCCCAAACGGGAGCGTGGGTTCGAACCCCACACCTGACAATGTATTTTTGCAGTTTTTTTCTCCTAATGAGATTATATATACTTATAAAGTATAAAGAAGATTGTAAATGCTATTTTTTTAAAATAAAATTTTGGTTGAAATAAATTCAATCGAATAAGTTTATAGTAATGCACACTGCACCTTACTATACAGACAACACACTTTAACGTAGTGAAAACGCGGTTACATAAAATAAAAATGCCGAAGTGCTGAGTAAACGGCAAACATCGCATTCAACCACTGCAAAAGAAAGCATCCGCAACACGATGTACGCAGTAAGTAGAGGTTTCGCGGGCGTATAACCGAAGTACTTTCTAACTAAAGTATTATATAATTTATTTTATTGAAAATTAATGATATAATTTTTAGCTTATAATAGGTAGTAAAAACTAAAAAAAACTGGGTAATAAAACTGGAATAAGTACGATTTTTATTATTTAATTACTGTTGGCGCTGAAAATATAAAAGTAAGATTTATCGGTCACGAAGGAACAGCTGGTCTTACGCACACAAAATTATCACTATTGGGCCAGAAGGGCCATAATACTACCAAGTTGTCCTGTCTAACCACAAAGGCTGTGATGTATTTATATTATAATTGTATTCCTTATTGTTGCTGTGATTTTTTATATTCTGTGTTATTAATTATTATTCTATCTCATATTATACAGTCACTCATTTTTTACCAGCAACCGTGTTACCATTTTTTTACTATCAGTTACTTGTAAACACACCTACTCTAGTACACATTAGAGAGAAATACACATATTGCACATCACGCGCTACGTAACTCGACAGTATTTACCCGGTGATCCCGATCACTGCTGTTCGAGCTATTACACCACTACACGCCCATCCATATTTTTAAGACTTAGGTGCTAGTGGTGCGGAACTAAGTTGGTGTCCGGGTAAGCATATTATTATTATACACCCCGGCCTGCGCAAATACCATTTTTTATGTAGGCACGGAGAAGGTTCGTTTTGAATTAATTAGTAATTTTTAAATCTGGATTCGCCTAGAAAATAGTAAGCACGTTTCAACGTATTCTGATGCGACGCCAATTGATTTCTCATCGTTTGTTTCAAGAAAAATCGATATTAAACTTGATTTTGCGAATGTTGGCTATAGAAGATAAGTACATAC